CAAGGGCATATTAAACATTTCATTAATTTACGAAAGAAAATTCTGATGAAGGGTATTAACGTTAGTTTGACCGAATTATATTTCCGCTGATTTCATATTCGACAACCTCCGTATACTTCAAAAAAATATGTCATATTATAATGCAACCTAGACATTCAGTCGTGACACTACATCTGTACTGCTTTATGTAAATGGAAATGTAAGGAGAAATTCATCTCCACTATTGGTGATCGAAAATAGTGGAGCATTAAGTATGCAGTGTCAGTGAGAATGGTATAACAGACAGTAGATTAATAATAATAGAGCTAACTGGATTAAGTTCTCATGATCAACACAATGCAAGTGTATAATAATACTCTACAGTGAATTAATATACCAAGTGAGACAGTAAGGAAATTTAAACGAGTGATTACTTTCTCCAATGCAATGCACTTGCAACAATCATGAGAACCACTTACATTTGTTAGCCTATCAGTGAGCTATAGCTTATAAGCAAACAACGGCACAATATTAATAAAGTTGAGATATTTTTATACATTGAATTCATATAACGCATATTGCACTGCGTCAATCAATGCAAATATTTATTAAATCAACTTAGCGATAACATTTCAACTTACGATAATTCCTGTCCAACCACAGATAAATTGACAAGCAGATCTACATGGTAACTTTTGCTCCCACGGAAGGTTCTGATAACATTCTTTTGTCAAAAAAGGCTGTTATTCACACGAAAATAGGCTGAATTAATATCCTGAGACTATGCCGAAAGGTGCAGCTTCTACATGGAGTAAACGATTAGTGTAGATGACATTACCCTCCAACTATCCTATCTTCCTCATTATACCGATATTTTGACACTGACTGTCCAGCTGAAACACTAATCATTGCAACCAATATGCTAAGAGTGTGTCGCAGTCAGATCACATGACGCGGACACCAACATAACTAGTCAGGATATGGGAATTCCCATCAATCCAGATAACATATAACACAACACACATATAACAATAACAATATAAGAATAAAACTTGGACACCGTGGTAGAGTATAATTTATTATTTATTCAATTTTGGTTATAGCTTGTTCATGTGTGCGTCGGTAGTATAGTGGTTAGGACGCTCGCCGACCACGCATATGGTCCGGGGATCTATCCCCAGACGACGTACTCTTTTACCTCGCTAAGCCAGAAATAATACTGCTAAAGAGGTAAGGTTGGCCATGAGGTTAGCAACCCCATCCTGTAAAATAAACACTGCTACAGAAACTTTAGGCCCTATATTCCAATGGGGAACGTGAAGGAAATAAAATAGCTTGTTCACACACCGTCTTTTTGGTACAAGTGTGGAATTTTCAGCATGTGATATCGGTGGCCCGAATTCTGCAGACCGACCATTGATATTGGTGTGAGTCGGCAGGGGATCGAACCCCGGAAATGTGCATGGTCGGCGAGAGTCCTAACCGCTATGCCAGTGATACAATCGTTTTATGATAAAGTCACACAGTAATGTTTACCGATGACATTTCGAGCTCAAATTATTGCTTCGTTTATGTATGTTATGTACTGGTCGAGAATTTAATAGTCCTGACGCAAGAAAGACGGAAATCAGAAGACCTCTAGGTTTGCGATGATACTTCTATTTTCCAAAACACCAGGAGAATCAATATGTCACACAAGAGTGTGAGAGCAAAATATGAATGTCCGAACAAGTGTGTGAGCGAATATTCAAAATGAACAAATCAATAGACAATCTTAACATGATTGGCTAATTATAATGGAATATCGATCCATGTATACATAGCAAAATATAAACGACTGTCAAATAAACACACATATTATATGGATATATATCAGTAAAAATTGATCAGACATTTGAATAAAATCTATATAAGATTTGCGTGAAATAGAATGGAACATGAAGTACATTCGGAACGAATATCAATTTTATCAATAAAATACAATAGGATGAGAAAGCAGACGAGTGTTCTTAGTCAATAAGATGTTTTTATGGTAAAATAAATAACTTGTTAGAATGTTATAATGTGAACTGAATACATTTTAATATCATTTAAGTGATGGTGCGTACTGGTGAAGAGTCCCAAACAAGGATGAAACAGCTGTCCATTACTCCCAGGTTTTCCAATGGTTCTGTAACTAATGCTGAAATCCATTAACATTATTTATTTTCCTCTGATCTGACTGGTAATAATATCTTTCATATCTTTGGTATTGCGTGTTGGGAGTAAACTCGACGAACAAGGATTCAGTAATCAGTTTCTCTCTCCACCTACCTAGATTACTCTTTATAATTTTGACACTCTCCCACCCTATTTCGTGGTTGTGTGTTGATGCATGCAGTGCAATTGTGTAGCTCATTTTCTAAATTACTTATCTTCTCGGGGTCAAACATTCTTACCTTAGCTAAATTTTTATGTTCTGATAATCTGACCATCTCCGACCTACTAGTTTGACCTATGCAGTTGACTTAACTCACAGTCATTGCAGGGTATTTTGTCAATTATATTATCTTGTTTAATGGGGTCCACCGACAGGGCTCTTTAGCCTACAAAGCTAGTCTCCGAGTGAATTTGTAGGTTTGAATGACACTCCAATTCCTGCTTTATTCAGAATCATACGTAGGGTCTCAGATGTCCCCTCGTTATATGGCAAAACTACTGTAGATGCCTTATATTCTCGCTTATTCATGTTATCATTACTAGTTTCACAATTATTTTTATTTTGCTTTTGGCCTTTACTGATCTTCCTGATGAATTTTATCGGATAGTTAGTTACTTTACACCGATGTTTCTTCTATCTGTTTTATTTCATCATTTAAGTCTTTTTTGTACTACTTAGTGCTATTGCTCGGATTTTTAGACACTCAACCAAGCCTGACTTTACAGATAACGGATGAGATGAATTAAAGTTTGAATATCTATTAGAATGCGCTGGATTTTTATAAATATTAGCGTTCCGTTTACCTTCTACTATTCGTTTACCATCTAACATTACTAATTCTCCTTGTTCATTTTCCGATTCAAATGTGAATTTTATTCGCCTTACTTTACATATATGATAAAGCTGAAGATGTCTTCTGCTTTTGAACCCGTGAAAGTGTCATCCACATATCTTTGGAATAGGATTAAAAGTATTAACAGTAATATTTTCCCTGCTGTCCATAAATATATCTGCTACTATAGGGGATATTAGTGATCTCTTTGCTACACCACCTGTTTGTTTATATATTTTGCCCTGGAATTAAAAGACAATAGATGTGAGGCATAACTGAATTCCTAAAATGATTTTTTCATTGGGTGGCTTCGTCCTATGATTAAGCTCACGATCAGCAGTTAGTTCTCTTTCAACCGCTCCTAAGGCCATATTTGTTGGTATGTTAGACTAGTTATATCAAAACTAACCATTTTTCCGTGATTCTCTAATTGAATGTCAATTAGTTTCTTTTTCATTTCATATGAACTGGTTTGAATGATTTCTAATAGGATATAGTGTTAGAGCTAAGTGTTTTGATAATTCATAAATAGGCGTATTTCTGAAGTCTACTATTGTTCTTACGGGATAAAGCCATTATCATTATTATTATTCAACTTGGTTTATGTATTTTTATAGTACCATATAGTACAGTCAGATTTATCGAAAATCACTTTATTAGCTTTTGTGATGACTATGGTTTTATCCCTTTTAAGATTAATCACAGCTAACCTTTCAGATTTTGTTAAGTTTGACTGCGCCTTCTTTTATTTCTTTAGAGTTAATGCACATTGTGTTAGAACCTCTTCTGCTGTCGTTTTATCTACTGAAATTAGCGTAACTTCTGTGTTAGGGATGACATCTTCTGATTATAATTTTAATCCTTTTTTAATTAGTTTTATCTCAATAGAGCTTAATTCTCTTGAAGAAAGGTTGGACTACCATTTTGTTTTGTCAATAGAAGATGAAATGTTGTTGTCAGCTACTTACTTTTCTGTCAGTCATTACTGAGACAACAAGACTTACTAGATTCCGTTTATTATTTTCTGGCAGTTATAATTCAGCCGTCTAACATAGTTAATAAAAGTATGGCATAAGGAGACATTCACTTTGTAACGACTTTCCGTTGCTGTGTTCTCTGAGCTGTATGGTATAATTGTGAAGCTTTTATTTCCCTTCTGCATAGTATCTTTAGTACTGATTACTATGGTAGGTGGTATTTTTGTTATACACACTTGGATTTTAATTTTTATTAAGGTAGACTCAATTTTGAAGAGAAAAAATGCTATCTAAAAACTAATCATTCCAGCTGTGAGCATATCCGTGATTACCTTCTGGACAGTCTTTTTTTTTTAAATCACAAAATTAAATTTATATGCGAGAGGTCCCGTGGGCCTGGTCTAATACAACTGAATCTCCTGGTAACACGCTATACTCGAAGTAGGAATAGAATTTGTCCTGTTCATACAGTTAGTTTGTAACAGCAAAAGTAAAAGTATATTTTCTAATCATCAAACCAGTTAATATATGTACAGTTTACATTCTTTAACCAATCATTGAGTGTGTGGTTTCGGTTCACATCAAACGATATGAAATATAATGTTCAAGTATACATAGTATTCTGTTGCCAATGTAGTACATGACTGTGGAAGAAGTATTCTGTCTCTAACATTAAACAGAATGTTCAAACAGATATATTGTATGCAGCATTGAACTGTGGAAATAATATTCCGACTCTGACATCGAATAGAAATATCACACTCTGTTGCTACTGCTGAAATGAACTGTGAGAACAATATTCCATTGGTACACGTTGTTCGTATCACACCACCACAGTACTATGAAAATCAGCACTTGTTCTACTCGGTGTTTTGAACACTTTCCAGACGCAGTTAAGTAAGTAACATTTGTTGTATTGATTAGAGGGAATGGAAAAGTCAGAGGCTAAAACTATATTTCTGCAAACTAACGCATTTATTATAAAAGACCTTGGCATTCAGAATCACTTTTTGTAGTATGGCTGAGCAGGACTGCTTTTATACTCTATTTTGATCCCTAATATCTTACCGCACGGCTTATAGTTTATTAAAATGCCTCATGGTCTCAAAACGGTGTGGATTTACTACAGAGTTAGGGGAAATAACTTTATATTATGTTTCAGGATCAAATGTCAGTGTTACCATTTCCACACATTTTAGTACAGATTTGGAATGGACAACGCATAGTACACAACTTCGCGCAAAAGAAGATAAAAGATGATAACACACTGTGATGTACAGTATCCTTCACAATGCACTACAACCATTGATAGTATAGAAAATATCATGTCTGATGCCATATGTTGTTAGATTCTTTGATTGCTGGCGGATAGCAGTGGAATTAAGGATGCGTGTTACGCTCTATTTAGAGCTCGCCAGCGATATTTGGCAGCATTTCTGGTGAGTGACTGGGTCCCCACGGAGACTCGAGCTCAGCACCCATCACTAAACACAAACACTTACTAAGTCATGTTTAGCGTTGGATGTAATATTGTGACTAAATACACTAATCATACAACACATGATAAACACTGTTGAAAAAGGACATAAGTGGATTAAATGAATTTTCGATATTTGTATCCTTCCCAATATAACTATCTCATTTGCGGATCGTGCGCTGACCCAATGAGTATGTACAACAAATGGCATAGCCAACTGAGTCAATGCAAATTCATACCTTGATCAACTCGCTTTCTTCACATTTACGGAAAAACCTATAACTGTCTCATACCGTTCTTTTTTAGCTGTCATTGTACACACAGTTGCTAAAGAAGATGGTAAATTGCTGATAAATAATGCAGGTTTTGAAGTGTCTAGGTGAACTTTTTTAACGTATGCTTTGATCAGTAGTCATTCTATAACTTAAATGAAAACCATTGGTTGTCAGCACACCAAATACATCTACGTTAGCTGGTAAAAAGTATTTCGTAGTATAACGTATCACAAAACTCTACCAAAAGAGTGATATCTCCACATAATGCAGCAAACATCAGGTAACCAGATTTCATCATTGCAGAAGTCTTCTGAACAGGAAACTTGTTTGACTTTCTTAGGCTAACCATCTAGATAGCTTATTGAAATGATATATTACTATGAACCCTAAGGTTTCCGATAAAATCAACCCAATGCACAACGGGTTAGGCTATGATTATTAAAATGCATTTTTGTATTCCTCTTAACGGATTACACTGATGAATGTTAACGATCATTTTGACGATACTTTCATTATTTCCTAGATGGTTGGTAATTTAGTGTAACCAGTAATCCAGAAAGCAATCTCTCACACATATACCGAGGTGGATAATTTGCTATTAATTCTTCATTCTATTTTCAGTCTGGAGGGTCAGCATCCAAATGACTGATATAAAAAATGCTACAGGCCTTTAATGAATATCATTTTCGCAGTCGATAAGCACACTTGCTATCGTCTTTCATGCTAGTTCATTTAGTAAGCCTAAATATGCTGTACCTAATTCCCAATGCGAACATATCCTCCTTTGTCATTGACTACTACTAATAGTAACTACAATGACCATTAATCTATTTTGTATCCGATGATTCTTAAGAATAAAACCGGCTGAATTGAGTCCATGTGCATCAATCAGTTTGGAAGGTCATGAGTTAAGCTACCAAATTCATTATTCTTTCATTGCACGCTACAAGATATATATATGTATATACCCACCTGAATTAAAACAAGAAACTCCGCTATGCCCTGAGAAGTGAAACAGACCTCCAACTTCTCTATTGAGATGACTAAGAACCAGCAATTCAGATGCACCTAAGGTTTCTATCTTATTATACAACTTTTCTCCTGTACTACTAGTATATCTTGATTATGGCTCACTAACCCTAACAAGTTTGCATTTATTTTGATAGTTATTATGCATTTGAGGAATATTGTACACATTGATCAAGCAACTGTATATAATCGCGATGGTACAGTTCAAATAAATGAATCTGGTTAGTTGAGTTTCCGACGTGAATTACGTGTTTCCTTCCTTTTACATGTTACGATGAGATTTTTCCGTGTATGAAAACCAGTTTTAATGATATTCTCTCTTTTCTTGTTTTGAAGTAGACACTATAACGCTCATCTGCTTGTCTCAACTTCACGTAATTAGACCCATTTAGAAACCAACCATTTTTCCCGAATCACTCATAAATTTCATCAAATTGTTTCGAAAACTCAGTAACGTATCTTAACATACATATAGAATATTATCACTAAGGTTTTTCTATGAAGTACAAAAAATATGCAGCATTTTTATCTTTAACACTGTCACAGAAAGAGATAAACACACACACACACAGAGCACAACGGAATAAAATGATGACTATATACATAACTCAATTTTCAGTGATCGATAGTGTGAACAAGCAACATTTTTTGCTTGTATACACATTGGGAAACTTCTATGCATTCATTGATGAGGTACTAACAAATATTTCGCAGTCATGTTATACATTACTAGTGAGTCAAATGAAACTGAAACCCAATGAACGGCTGTGATGGCACAAAGCTGAAACACTAATCTGCGGACCAACAGCACCTAGTTATTATTTCATTTATGGTCACTAACTGCACACAAACATCATTTCTAATTCACTTTCGAAAACTTGAAAAACCAACCTCTAAACATATAACTAACCTTGTTTGCATGCTTTCATAGGTTGCAAACAATAGAATCATAATCCTAACATTCCCCAATACTTCATTTTGTCACACTAACCCATCATCACAGTATACAGAACCAGCAATGGACAAGTCAAACACAAAATGGAGAACATAACCTTAAACTGTAAAAGAGGCGGAAGAAATAAAAGAGCAAAAATACAAATACACAAGTAACAGACTATACATCACACTGTAAATTAATCATCCCTGAAGCGATAAAAGCATCCCCTAAATTAGGAACACATAAACGAACATTTATCAGAAGTGACGGAAATCGTACATTGGTGTGCACTTCAGAATCTCTTCATTTATTCAATCAATTACATTCAATATTATAAATGGAAGCAAATAGATACAAAAGATTCTTCCCAGTGTCTGGTGCAATAACACAACACCAGACAGAAAAGAACAAAACTCCAACAAAGAATTCAAAGTCTCCAAATACGAAAATAAACAAACAAGAATAGACAAGAACGAAAATAAGAAACACTAAAACACCATAAATTAAGTAGTATTAAAAGTTAATTATGAAAAAGGAGACGACTTATGTACAAGGTTTAAGGTGTCAACGAAACCTCAACCTTCACAGGAGCAAGTGAAAATCAATAATTGTTTTTATTGAACAGTCTGTAAAAAAAAACAAAATGACATTTAAATAAAAACAAAATGTAAAAACTATCTAAAAGTTAGGGAAGTAAAAACCAGTACATTGTTGTAAAGTTTAGCCATCTAGCATCAATCAAAATCCAACCAGATGGTGGTATACAGGCAAGTTAAATTCGAAATGATTATTCAAAAGAAAGAGTATTCCAAATAACTCCTAAAGAGGATATGTACGGAGGAATCAGATATGTTTGGATGTGAAAAGGAAGTGAACTGCAAATCGATAGAATCACAACACACGGAGAATTTCTTATATGCGTTAGTTGGTCTTACACATAAATAGATTATGCAATAATGCGATTATGGAAAAGTATCGTATTGAAAAATAACATCCAAGTTAATAAATATAATTTTAGTAGAAACAAACAAAGGATGGAATACAGTGCATTCTATTCGAAACACCTTTTGTAGTAAGTGATTTCCAATAGTGTGGACAGATTGATTTAACAAGATGTATATGCACTGATCAGGCATACAGATACAGCTGCAAAAAGTGTCGATCAAAAACTCCTATTAATTAAAAGAAACGCCAAAATAAAACCAACTTCTTGGTTGTGTGCTTTCTATCCCTAACTACTAAATAATACTCTATCATACTCCATATCCACCAGGCGGTTCACCGAATGCATCAGCTACCATATCCATAAGTTCAAGCAATCTTTTTGCGCTACATGAATCATTTACGTGCCTTGCTGATGGTCTGTTAGCAGTACGTCGTGTCGTAGGTGCATGCAGACCAGCAATATCTGCTGCTTCAAACATTGCTAAATTAGGACGCAATACTCTAGAATCTTTATTATTATTTGTTTTACACTGATTATCTTCGGATGTATGCGATGAACTAGTTGAACACTTTTGATCTTTCACTGTATTAGTGGATGCAGACTCAGATTCACCAGTTACATCATCTGGTTTTCGTACTTTAGATGGATAATAACCATGACGAATGTAAAAGTAGATATCATCAATCTCGTCGTAGGCCTTAAATATCTCATCTTGTGACATATACGACTCCGGTGCAGGTGGTAAGTCGCTTCTTTGTTTAGCTTGTTGACGAGATGTATACGAGTCACGCGGTTCGCGTGTCACATCTTGCATATGACGAACTAGATAATTTAATGTTTCGTGTGCGTGAGCAATAGCTAGGAAATTGCATGCTTGTATACGGTGATTTTCCATTAATAAAGCATAATTTGCATCATGAGTGAATCCAATCTGAAAGGAGTGATCACGTAACATTGATGGTGTAATCAAAAATAAACGTTCCGGTGAGGCGACAGGAGCAATAATTAGAATATCACCTCTATAAAGAGAATGTAATCTTAGGAAATGCTTCTCAGTAAAAATAAGAGATTGGACAGCAACTAAACCAGAAGTAACTTTACGGCTAGTATTAAAAAGAGATGGACGACTCATTGGTGGACCATAGATGGAGTGATTATAAGAATCCGGTAAAGGTATCGGTCTAATTGATAGGGGTAAACGGAATTTACGAAGTAATCCAGATAACAAATGTACACCAGAAATATTTTCTGGACCAGCAATAGTACTTAACGAAAGTTTAGGAGGAAAAACAGCAGGTGTAGAATCTTCTGTACCAAGATAAATAGTACGCGAAGGAGGCTTAACCGGGAGTAGGTCGGAAGTTATAGCCATTTGTTTTGTGCTGTTGGATCGCTCAGTTGCCAAAACTAGTTCCATTTCTTTTATTTTCTTCCCACGTCTTAGTGAACAGTAAGGTAGGTACGTGATATAACGGAGAAGTGTCCCAGCACGAATAATATCCGGCTTTGAGAAAGCTAGTGTTTCTGGTGAGCATGCCAAAGAGACCAAGTTTGGTGGTAAAGAAAGTGGTGAAGGATCATCATTTGCTCCTTGTGTTTCATTTGAAGAAGGAATATCTAAGGTAGGAGGTGCTACTAAACAACGCATATCTTGACGGACAATAAAAGTTGAAGACTTAGTTCGCCTTACTTGTTCAATTGTTGTAATGTGTGGAGTTGGTTGATAATTTTCATTCAAAACTTCATACCATCCACGACATTGACGAAAGAGAATCAACTTAGATTGTACTTCACAGACGGTTGCAGGGAAACGTGGGTCTTTGTCCTTCGCTGTCCATGTTTCCCAAGTCGCGGAAGCAAGCGTTGAATCTGGTACAGGATATAACATAAGACTATCATAATTCCTTAACGCACAACGACACCCTGCACGCTTACAAATAGCCTTTATTAAATAGGTTCTTCCAGAACTACCTGAACGAAACTCAGACATCAGTTCAGATAATGGTTGAGGTGGACCTGGATGCCAGTGGATGCCGGTTAACAAACTAGATTCAAGTGACCCTTCACATTTGGGTAAATGATCCCTGGGTGTAGCAGCAGTTGCATTATCACTTTGTTCTCTAAATCAACACAAAAAAGGAGAAAAAGTGGAGGTGACTAACATGATATTTAAAGAAATTCAATACTAATAGGAAGAATGGAAAAACAAACCTAACTAGACATAATTTCTAAATTACAATATATCTGTTGTTACTATAAGTAAACAATTACTTTAAATGGAGGTACAATCATAGTTCAGCTTAAGTGCAGAACTTTTCAGCAATAATCACCATCAAAATGATTTACATGCACCACTGTAACCAACTGAAAAACATGGTTAGGATTGCATCATATGCAGACACACGCTTTATGAACCACAGCTATTCTGTGTAGAGCTTTCTGTTACCTAAGCATTATTAATCAAGATAATGTACATTCAGTGCAGCTGGAAGATAAATCTAATCCTTGAATACAATACTATAACATAACACTACGAAATCATCTGTTCAAGGAAGAATTCATCGAACTGCAAACTGACAGGTACTAATTTTATACACGAGTCTTCAGAAAGGTAGAGAAAGAAAAAGCCAATGATGATGCATACCGACTGATTATGCTTCTTTTAGTTGAAATCAATACACTTGATGTGGTAAAAGGATGAAAAGAACCAACATAATACAATAAGAAAATCATACAAATCACTTGAACATGCATAGTACGAATTTAAACCATTTTTAGGAATCGCATATCACAAGTATAGTGTTTCAGACTGTGAGAATCAGGGCTCTGAATTTTTGAAGTTTTGATTCAGTGTAAATTTAAGTGTTCGCAATCTAATTGTCAGTGGGTATTTTTTGATGTCGACATACTAAAGCTTTTGTAAGAAAGTTAATAGGAAAAAAACATCTTTGCAACCACCTTCAAATGAAACTGGCCATTCTCATCTAATAAAATATTAACTTCAAGTTGCAGACAGGTTATCTCATAATGTTCAACGTTGCAATCATAGTGAAATATGATAACTTTCCACAGAGTGGTTAACAGTTCATTACTTTTTTTTATAAACTATGAAAACTGCACTGAGAAAAATAATTGCACAGGTAGTGTAAATGGTTAGAATAAGCAATTATTGAGAATTCATCATCCTATAATATGATCAAACTAAAACCCTTAGGTTTCATAGTATGTAGTGGGAAAGACATTGTCTCATTTATTCAAGTAAATAAAATAAATTGCCTTTGTCATGTTGTTAATTAAATGCATCACCTTGATTACCCCCTATCTCCTACAGATAAATTTAAATAGATTATTTTAACTTCACCTTAATTACAGTGTGGTAAACGAACACAGAGATTCTTGTCATTTACTAGATATGTGTCTAAATACGATTGCATTTTCATATTTTGTACGATCGACTCCAAATTAATTACGCATACATAATAAGTTAAAGAAAACAGGTCATGTGATATCAATCTTTTGAGGAGGTAATTTCTTCTCAGCAAAATCGATTTCCATCAATTTGGTGCCACCGAATTATGGTAACTCAAGTGCGCAAGGATGAACACACACACACACACAAACAAACTCAGAAACAAAATATATAGATACCTATACGTGCACATGTATACATACATGTACAGGTATAGACATATTTACAGAAAAAATCTATTTTCAGGCAAAAGTAGAAGAAAAAAAGAGAAGAAACCTGTGCGTATGCAAATAAAATAGTATCGATCTATGTGTGAAGAGTCTTTAGCGCGTGTTGAATGGTTACTCTTATGCGTGCATAAAATTCTGTTTATAGGCACAGTAAGTAGTTACCAAATACAGATAGAGTGAAAATGAGCAAGTGAGGCTGGACAACAGAAACATTAACTGAATTATTGACAGGCCTCTAAAAATAGATGAGAAAAGTCAGGGTTCTTTAATGAGTATTTATGATGAGGCTGCTGTATCTAACACCACAAAAAATTCCTACCCAGACTTTGCAGTTCACAATGGCAGGTAGTTACGCATATATCATGTAATTTAACACATAATAGTTTTCTAACACCAGTGGACTTCTACAATCTTTATCAGTTTTTGTTCCAATCACACGTTTAATGCTCATGGAATGTCATATGTATTCTTGAGACAATTTCAAAAGTTTTCAAAATCAGCGCCTGTCACTTAGCATAGTATTACTTCGGGTATGCAATTAGTCATATTTCATTCTGTGAAGAGATGTAAAAACAAAACGAATTCCGTTGGATGCAGTCTCGTTGGCTGAATGGTCAGAAAGCTGGCCTCATAACCTGTAGGTCCTGGGGTGCGCATTGCTGAAGAGTCCCAGTTTAAAAGGAAACAGATATCGAGCACTGGCTGGTCTTCAAAGGGCCTCTAACTAATGCCAATTTGACAACGGAAATTGAATTTCAAAATAAACTCCTGACTATTTAACTCTATTATTTTAAACAGGGGAACAGAGGCTGTATCTAAAACAAGTTAATTGTTAGGTGTCGATAAATTTGCCATACTACCAGTCACATAAATCAACATGTCATATACTGTCTGTCTGTTTCCGACAAAGAACTTTGCACATATGTGCGGCAGTTCAAGTCGCCACACTCCCTCCTTGTAGCACACAAAGCAAGAGAAGAAATGCCAAATGAAATGTCATATACATAAATGATGGATATATTTCTAATAAAATAAAATCTATCAACGAATGGCCAATGAGCCATCTGTATATCAAGAAGGGGAATAAAGCAATTCTCTATAGTCGGTTTGTACGGATTAGTTTTTGTTTTTACGAGTTGACCACAGATTGATATCAAATAGAGAACCATTGAAAACTGGCAGTACGCATCCACTGCCGATGATTCCCAAACTAGGATGAAACAGCTGTCCAGTACTCCTTGCTAGTTTTCAATGGTTCTCTAACGGATATCAATCCTTGATCAACTTGTAAAAATAAATAAACCAATTCAACACGATACGAAGACAAGGTAGCAAAAATAATGAATGTTATTCAGACGGCTATAAACAACATAATTACTTTATCAGATGACAATGAAAATAAGAGTAGGGAATACAATTTGTCTGTTTCCACCAACCACGATGATTCATAGTGGATTATCAATGATGAATGCGTCTGAGTTTTTACTACCGGAGATTTTATTAGTGTAAGGATGGGAAAAAACTACCTGTGAGTAAAAAAATAAGACTTTAAACACGTGAGAGGTGAAAAAAGGGCAGTAATGGATATACAGACCCGAACAGTCAAATGAGAGTTCCAATATTTGCATCAGTTTTACAAAAGTTACATACTCTCATTTCATGACATTTATGGCCTTCATCCTTCACGAAAGTGAACAGCTGCGATAATGCGAAATAAAAAGATAAACTATACAACATAAAAAGTGAGTTTATCGGCTTACAGGATAGTTTCAGTGTTAGAATAACAGTACTCTCTTCGAATGTATCACAGTAACTGACAAATGTATATTGAATTTTCACTAGAGTGACTACACCCTCTTACTTATCCACACTTCACCTAATTAAACGAAATACAGTAGAATAAGCTTAAGCAGTCCAAGACCTCATAAAGTAATATAAAAGAGAATCGTGAGATTGGCGATATTCACGTACTTCTAGTTTGAAAACACTGGGAATATTACTCATCTATGTCATAATTAGATATATCTGTCTTGCTCATAATAAAAAAGGTATAATACTGTATGGTGCGAATAATACAAGGACTGATTTTCGGGCATACACAAAAAGTGTAACAACGAGAGGAGATATTCACGAAAGTAGACAAGGAAACAATACAGTAAATACAAACTAGATCAGCTGATAATCAATATATACAATAGGGTTTAACGTGTTTACCAAACTCCATTTGCGTATTCTCTAGGGTGCACATGTGTGTCTCATTCTTGATTGTGACAGCCTTGATTAACAAACTGCTGCCAAAAGCAGTGACGATCACAAACTCTAAAAGAAAACCTAAATCGTAGCAGAATTCAGACCAACTTGAAGTTGTCTACTAGCCGAACTAGTACAAAGGCGATAGACAGACAGGTGTACACACCGTGGTTCAATAAAACACTGCATCAGATGAAATAAGCGAGAAAATGTAAAACTATGATGAATAGACTATATTGTTATTAACTACGAGAAATAACTACACAATTTGTAGCACTTATCCGTAATTCAGTAGTGAAGTGAAATATTTTTCAACCTGAAAACCACTTAATTACTTTACATAGAAACTTCTAATCATTTTACAGACGTACAGACTTTCGCTGAACGAAAAGAGATATTCATGCATGTAACTATCTAATGAAACAGAAACATGATCATAACAAAAATTAATATATCTCCTGTGTTACGTGGTAAATACACCTTGCGAAACACTTATCTTATTACAAGTGCGTTTATAATACGAACATTAAAATTACATCTATTTGTAGTTTCTCAGAATTATCTATATCGCAGATGCATTCACTGTTTTTCCTGCAAACTGCCTTGGTAACTCATTAACAGGAATGACCGGGGGATTTCAATTCCCGTGACTGCAGTTTCTTTACATCACTAGGTAATGAAAATATTGTCAACTCTGCAATTCGAATAAACAACACGCTAGATCTGGTGTTCACGAATGACTTTAGTACATATGAAGCTCGAAAAAGAACCCACTAAAAATCCTGATTGTCTACTACACGCGTTTTGCCAAAGGATATTCAGGAGAAGTCCATATAGATGTTATTCTAAGGACAATATACAGAATCCCAGAAGCATGTTAAAAGATATACACTGGACTTATTTACTGAACAAGTGCTAGATGAAACTATTATAAATATAACGTTATCTTAAACTGTATCTTGATGTTTTTTGCCCAAGGGATATACTTTTTGTTAGGTTTGACTGTTTCCCTTTTTATAAACTCGTAAAGCGTCGCCGAGAAAAGGAAAGGTTATATTAAATCCAAGATAGCCGTGGTGCAAAAGGACTGAATACTTTAATCGTCTGAAAAAATGCTGCTTTTTTATTTCATGTTGGTACGCTTAACAAATCATTCCTATGTCATCCAGAA